GGTACTCAGACTAGCCTGCACTGACACCTCCCTCCTGGAGCTCCTCATGATCTCCAACAGTGGGCTGCTGGTGCTCCTCTGGTTCCTCCTCCTTCTCGTCTCTTACACTGTCATCCTGGTGCTGCTGAGGTCTCACTCAGGGCAGGCGAGGAGGAAGGCAGCTTCTACCTGCACCACCCACATCATCGTGGTGTCTATGATCTTCATTCCCTGTGTCTATATCTACTCCCGGCCCTTCACCCCCTTCCCCTTGGACAAAGCTGTGTCCATCAGCTACACAGTCATGACCCCCATGCTCAACCCCATGATCTACACCCTGAGGAACCAGGAGATGCAGGCAGCCATGAAGAGATTAGGCAAGCGCCTTGTGGTTTGCAGCAGAGAGTGAACTTTCAATAGGTTGACTTCAGAGGACAGGTCTTGTCTCCAAACTTGTGCTGTCCCCTGTGTAAAATGGAAGAAGATCTTTATAAAGTACAACAATTCAGATTATACTAATATTTCCTGAGGACCTTCTCCAGTGTTAGGTACTGTGTTAGGCCCTTACACACATTTATCTCATAAAATTTACAGTGGATATATTCTAATTAAACAGTTTTACAATGAGGAAACTTGGAGAGTAGTGACTACTGAAAGGTGAACAGCAAGTGAGTAGCAAAATTTAGTTCCTCTGACCCCAGGTTTAGAGGCAGAAGTGAATGGAATTTGAAGTTCCAACTCTCCCACAACCACAAGGGGAAACCTTGAAAGTTCTTCGTGTGTAGATGAATATTGTGATGTATGGTCAGCTATGTCATTTTAGCTCCAGGTCAGTCACATTCTATTATCCTACCTATGGCCCTACCTACCTCATTGCCTGAGTTTTGCCCATAATGGCATTTGTTCTTTGTTTTGTTTCAGCTCTATCAAATTCTTCTTGAATAATTTTCAAATCATGCTACTTACTTGCAATGATTTTAATGTGCTTCCCACCAAAGTTCATGTGTTAGAAACCATCCTCAAATTCATGTTGATGGTATTCAGAGGAAGGGCTTTGGGGAAGTACTTAGGCCAGGTGAGGTATGGGAGCAGAACTCCCTCCTCTTCATGATAGTTTTTATGAAGACAGGAAGACCTGAGCTGGCATAGTGGTACATACTTGTAATCTCAGTTACTTGGAAGGCTGAGGCAGGAGGATTGCAAATTCAAGGTTAGCCTGG